CGGTATGAAGTAATACAATCCTATTTACTTTAAATTTTATCTCTTTATGCCCCTCTCTATCTCTTCTTTCACTAATTTATATTAAATACAATGTATCTAGAGAACTAAATTATTTTTTTGAGTTACTTTTTAAACCTTTCAAATTCTATATTATTTTGATGATCTTTTACATTAAAAATTAAGAAAAAAAACTACAATTTACAAACTTAAAATTTACACGGAAAGAATGATTATGCTGAAGTATCTACAAATTTAGTTAGAGATATAGATCTGAAAATAATTTTGGACCAAGAAAATTACGTATGTAGGACGTTCAAATTGGCTGCTAAATATTGTTTGCAGTATTTTGAATATTTCCTAACATAATTAGTTTGACGGTTCAACAAAATTATTTTCAGATCTGTATCTACTTAATTTTTTAAATATTTCAGCAAAATTGTTTCTTCTATGTAATTAATGCGTAATTAAATTGTTTGAAATTAAAATATTTAATTTCAATTGTAATTTAAATTTAGTTTAGTTCAAAATAATAGCTAAGAGGGTTATATTAGACTCAACGATGCTCATATTAATCGTGTGAACCCAATAGAAGATGAATCGACAATTCGCATAACCGTTCGAATAATCATTTGCCTCGAGTATCCAATTAAGCAACGGCAACGCGAGTGCATTGCATTACCAAGCAGAAACGGCACTAGAGCGCCGTGCATTTCGTCATTCATTCTCTACGCCCGAGGTAGCTGATCGAATTAACGTTGGGGTCATTAAAATTTTTTTTCATTACGTTCCTCGAGCTCGCGCACGCGATCGCCGTAAGGCCCAGCTAGCTGTGGCGACATGCTCCGCTGACGCCGAAGGGGAAGCGTGCTCTGAATGGTCCCTTGTATGTACTACCGCTCGCGGGAAGTCTCGCTCTGTTCACGATTATAAAAAAAAGGGAAAAAGAAGGAGCAGACGACAAAGAACTGTTAGACTGTCGTTGACCGAGCGAGAACGAACCATCTACTAAAATGGGATTGAGAATTTTATCTTGAGGTTTGACAATGGGGATGTCAAAGAAACTTATTCCTTTCTACAATGGTTACGTTTACACCGTGCATTTAGCCCGCGGCCTATACGATAGATGTCCTTGTTTATCCTGTATATTAAACAAAGACACCTATCGTATAGGTCGCAGACTAAGCGCACTGTGTAAACGTAGCCAATATCCGCACGATATTTGCAACATTGACAAATCTCTGTGATATTTAAAGAAATTTTTTAAAAATTTTCTGCTTACACAAACATTCCGTTGTCTGCTAACACGGGTAATTTTAACGTAATATTTTATTCGTGGCAGACAGAAACTTCCTTTTAGCTCCCCACTTATGAACGTGACTTAAATTTGATTCGATTTGACGTGACTCGAGTTTAATTTTAACATGCCGCATTCCAACTTCCGGCAGCTATTACGACATACGAAGAAATATCTACACTCGACTTTATTGCAAAGTTAAAACTTTTGCCAGGATTCTCTTATTCGCGAACGCGTTCATTTTAAATAAATTAGAAAAATCAATTAACGGAGCAGTTAGTGGTCGGGAAGTTAAATCTATAATATTTCTTCGTACTCATCGACTAGGGAGATTAATGCGTTTTTAATCCTTCCCAAAGTCCTTTATCTTCGTGATCGGGACGAAGAGCCGTGACTTTATCTCAGCCAATCGGAAGACATATTTCCCGTGCCAGCGAGAGAAAATTAGGTCGGTTCGGGATCACGTTCTTCAGCGTGTACGCTCTTCTTTTTCTTATCCTGTCCCTTTCGTTGATTAAGCTACGCTTGCGGAATAGAAAGCCGGTAGAAGGGGAATGTGATGTGCAGAGCCAGAGGCGACTTTCCTCGATTTCGCTCAAACTTAGTTTCAGTTCTCATTCGCCGCGAGGCTTTTCTAAAGGGATTCCTTCACACGTGAAGTATTCTGCTCCACGTATCCTTTCATTGATTGTCTCCTGTATGAACAATGTATACTTCCTCGCAGAGATTACCTCTCTTGTTTCTATTCATTGTATTCGTTAGATTTTTCTTGTTAATATCACCGATCGTGATCAAACTTTTGAAATCTTGTTCTAACAGTTTTTTATTTCGTGGTTTTTTTTTAGAATTCTATTTACTCTGTGTATGAGTATCCATAATTGAATCTCGGTTGAAAAAAAATTGTCTTTGTGTTACAAAATTTGAAAAGGCAATTGGATATTTCGTGTACATGTTTAGCAAATGAAATTGTGACAAACTTTACGAAATCAATGTTCGAAGAAATCACATTCTGAGATAATAAAAATAAACATAAAATCTAAAAGTAAATATGATATAATATAGATGAAATTAAATGAAATTAGATTTATTATATAAGTGTATGGATTCAATATTGACGATATCGACACGGATTGTAATTATGCATTTTAAATATTAAAACATCAACTTTACAATTAAAAGATAGAGAGGCATAATTTTCTGCACATATGCATTATATGATATATTACGTATTTCTCATTGCTTTTATATGATACATTATGTATTTCTCGTTGCTTTTATATGGCGTTACGTATATAAAATGATAAATCACACTTCTGTTCTTACACATCCATTACTTCTGACCATTTTCATATAAACGACAGCTGTTAATTTATCATAGACTTTGCTATCGTAATCAGACGCGAGGAATCATCTGGATCGCTGCAACACTTTGTTGATGTCGGATCTTCCATAATTACTGAGACCAGGTTCTTCATTTCTCAGACTTAACAAAGGGCTCTTCCTCGCGCAACTTCATCTCCGTTCGCTCGCGCGGCCCGGCCGGTGCGTATCGGTGAAATCCGGTCTAAATCGAGTTTTCAGAAAAATGTTCAAGGTAGGAATAACAAATGGCTCTTTGCTCTCTCGCAGCGGAGCGAGGTCGAGGGATAGCGTTCAGAAATAATCTCGAGAGAAGGGAGAACTGGACAAACCATCTGTAACCTGCCACGCGCGAGATTGTGGATGGCACAGCCCGGGGGCGTATCATAAATTATAGTTACCCTCTGCTGTCCATAGTAAATCGTTTGCCGTCCCGCAGATCCTTCTCCGCCTTTTACACGTTCCATAAAATTGTCTCTTTTTACTTAAACTATCTGGCCTTATAGCTAAACTAGAAAGCCTGGTCGAACGTTGATAATTTTTCACTTGCGCTTAGCTACTGAAAGAATTTTTATTGTTTCATAACCTGTTTTTTATAAATCGTTTAACTAAAATCGATTGTTTTTACCTGATATAAAATTTAGTAACTTTTAATAAACGATCTCAAAAAAAAATAAAAATTGTAAGTTTATAAAAAATTTATATTTTATAGTTGCAACTTCATGAACAGCGAAATCATATCAGTTTTATCATAGCTTTATTTCTTATAGTATATTTAATATAATGTATATTTAACACGCGAATTATACAATGATTAATTTATATCCACATTGCATATTTATCATCTGATACTGAATATTTTATTGTCTGATATTGCAATTTAAATATTTAATTCTATATTACTCGCGTGATTTTTTTAAACAGGATTACTTATGTAGCGTGTTTTTGACACCTCAGTTTATCTCAATTTTCAATAGTCTCTTTAGCTATTTACAACTAAATAAAGATTGATAATATTCTGTATATAAGGTATCTTTTTAGATAAAGATAAATGCAAAAATTGTTTCTAAATTGTAAAATAATTTTCATAAAATATAATAATGTATATAAATAGCATTCGTACATGTGTTTAGCAAATTTATATGGTGGGAGTGTTTCTGAACATCTAACGTGAATAATGAAGAGTTAAAAGTATTTATAATTTTTTTATTTAGCAAATTGTTAATCCAACTTCTAGCCAGAAATTAACAAGGACATTTTTTGTCTGAAATATTTGTGAAGTTTATAAAAAGAGAATCAAGCTTCGACTTTAGACGAGAAAGATTAGTTCTCTTATATTTTTGGGGTAAGAATGTTTTTACTGAACTAGGTTCGCGTTAAGGTATTATTCAACCAATCGTGGCCCGCCACGACATTCCAATGGAACATTGCCAGAAATCTTTCTACTATAAGTACGATTGCCTGCGGTCACGGTAAATAGTTCGCTACCGCACGAAAAATTGGCAACGCGATTTTCGCCATTATCTTTCATCTTTAACGATCTCGGAGAAACCAGAAAAACTGAGTCAAACCTACTTATAGTAAGAAAAGTATTTCTCTATCTTAAATCGCGAATGATGGACGAGAGAGTGTTTGAACGTTAGTGAAAGTTAATAAGATACATTTCTGTTATCTATTATAATATAATTTATCTTCATATTTAAATTATTAACAGTGTTTTGATCTTATTAAAAATTATAAGATTAATTGAAAGATAACTAATCTCTTTAAGCTAGAGAGATGTCTCCAATGATGTCCATCTATTTTGTCAATTTATTAGATTACATATAAAATTAATGTAAAATAATTATATGGTAGACAGGGGATAATTTAGTAAATATTTAACTCTTATAGACACAGAAAGTTTTAATTAGTAATTATCAATTTCCTTTTCTTATATTAATAAATAATGATAAGAAAAATAGTCTTAATCATAAATTAATTAAGTCATTACTCATAATAGTTTTACAAGAAACGAATTTGTATGAAATCCTAAACTTTGAGTTGTTAAAGTCACGTTTACACACTGAAAATATGTTATATCAACATTATCTTAATTGAAAATAATTTTATTTATTCATAACACTATTAATGAAACAAATAAAATCAGAGCATAACGTATTTGCTTCATTAATAGTGTTATTGATTTGATACAATTATTTTCAATTCAAATAATGCTGTTGACATAACATTTTTTTTCAATGCATTTATCGGTATTAAAATAACCCTTTAATTTATCCTTACCCTTAATCTTATGTTACTTTGATTGAGCATTGAAACTCACAAGAAATTTTTTTTTTTTTTTCAGCATATGGTGCAGACAGGGATGGCTGCGCCCTATGGTGGGGGTGTCTTCCCTCCTCCGGTAAACGGGGTTGCGGGTGTCGTGGGGGCGGCCGGTGCAGCCGGTGACGTTAAGCCACCGCCACCAGTGACGGTGAAGGAGGAGAATGCCGGTGCGCCCCAGCAACCACCCCCGACCGGCGGGCCCCAGGTGCCGCCTGCGGCAGGAGCACCCCATCCCGCCGCCCCTGGTGCGCCGACCGCTGCCAGCTTCAGTCCGCCTCCGCCTCCGAACGGGGTCGATCAACAGGCCATCGTAAGTTTCTGACTCTTAATTAACACGACTGTGTCAAATTGGTCGATAAGCACATCGATTATCACTCGTACTACAAAACTATAATAACAATGATTAGGAAAGGAGCAGTTCCCTTTACATAAGATTTCGATGTACATCGAAAATAGTTATTAACTACTATAATAAATTAAATTAATTTAGATTAATTTTTGAAAGTTTAAATTTAAATAGTTCTTAAAATTATATACGTTCTTAAATACCTATGAGACATTTGTTTAACATTTAAAAATGGTAAAGTATGAAGAATTAACATTTATATGGAGTTTTTTTTATCCTCCAAGCATAATTCTGAATATTATTATATATATTCCAAAAAAGCATTTTCTATAGGAGAATTTTCTTAGGACTGCGATGTCTTCTTTTCGTGAACAAATATTGTAACGACCAAAGATTAAAGCGATACGTTATTGGCTGTTTAAGCCAGTGCGGTGCACCAAAACCGCAAGCGCAGGGGCCCGTTAGAGTAACTAATCCTTTCGAATGTTCTTGACGTTCGTGACAACGCGAAATTGTACGTTACATTCTTATGAAGTAGCCCCTTGCGAGCCATGTGGAGCACTTTCAAGATTCTAGTGTACATTCCGTTACCGGAGAACCAAACTTCTTGAACCGTGCACGTCTCCCTTCTTACCTTCGTCCTGTTTCCCAAGGCGCGGCCGTCATCCCGTCACGTAGTTGCGGTCGCGGTCAACGATTCTGGACACGTATGAATGAAGAAGAGACGTCGTTGCCTCCGATGCGACGACGAGTGAATTCTACGAAGGAGGGCCCCTTGTAATTCATAGCAAAGTGCGCGGTAGACGGAAAGAGTTACTTACAGATTGAATAAAAGAATTTCCTCGCTTGACGTTATGCGTTTTGTTTGCGATATAAACTTTCATTCATGATGAAACACAGTGAGAGAAAAAAAAACGATAATTAACGTTGACGTTCATCAACGTTTATAGTAATATGAGAGTAGTAAGAAAAAAAAATATTAATCCGTACATAAGAGTATTATGATCATAATAATAGAAAATTTAAGAAAAAGGTTACTTAAAATTAAATACGTAATCGTTAATTGCATTTATATTTAAAGTCCCTGTTTTAAAGATTTTGTTTAAATTAACACTTTCGTTAATATAATTTTGTAAATTCAGGAACGCCAGTTTTGTAAGATTTATTACGTAATCGACTTAATGAAGTTTATTAAATCCGGATGATTTTCAAATAGATCGACTAATTCCTGAAATAGTTTATTTCATCACGCTCGCGTAAAGCTATATTGTGCTTTAAATTTTATTCCTCATTAGCGAATGTAATCGATGATCGATGTACCTAATTGGAAATACACAGGATATACAGAAATGCCTTATCTTGCTTAAAACTTCTAATGATCTGCCTTTTGCTTGACCCACAATTTACGAGCAATTGCAATTCTGTTTATTGCATTATTCACCGGATGGTTGTCGGAGCATGTCGGGTTAACTTTTTTTCTAGAAATTATTAATTACACTTTCTTGCATCACTCTACATTCAATTCTGTATTTACAACGTATCGTCATACGACTGATATCTAAAATAAAGGAGTCTTTTGAAAACGTACAAATTTGTATTCATCAGTCATTCTTCGAATTATCGGAGGAGACATTTTTGCTGGACCGTGCTTGATCCTGACCTCTAAATTTATGTGAATTTATCGTCCATATGATATAAACTTTATAAATCTATTCCATATGTGAGGGAAAATAATTAATATTTTAAATTTAAATCAGTTGTGATTAAAAATTTACTTGAAAATCCACGAAAAATATAATTAATTTCATTTATTGATTTTTTCACATTTCGATTCTTAAATAATCTTTTCAGGTCATATCTTTTTATGTATATCTCTCTTTTCTCATTCGCGCAATATATTTCGTAATCAATATAGGATTCCACAAATATCTACCACTACTTTTCTCAAAATGTCACTAATATTCATGCACCTGTTTTTAGAATCCTTTTTGTGACAATCGATCCGGCCATGCTTGTGTAATAAGAGTTAAATGGTTCATCGGTAATTGCATTTTAATAGTCCAACGTGGCGGAGACTCGGTCCCCCTTTGTTCGAAATAGGTCCGTAGGGAGGGCACGTCGTTCGTGTGATAGATACGCGATTACGAGATATAATCCGGTGCCATTAATTCCCTTGAAATTCATACGCCGCGTCGACGGTGCGTGGAAACTCGAGGCTACAATGCGTTCTCGCTGTCGGCCGACTCTCCGATTCATTACCATCGGAGACGCCGCAGTCAGGTTTCCTCACCTGATTTACGACCACCGGTTAGAACGCGGCACTGCGAGGATAATGACGATCACGCTTTAGTGCTAAATAAATATCGGGGAAAGGTCGGGTCTCTGGCGACAACGATAATTGATTTCATGCTCGGTCGCGACTCAAAATGCAAAGCACTTTTGTATCGACACGATATCGCGCGCACAACGAATGCAAGAAAAGTAATATTTAAATCCGCTCTAATTTATTGCGTTGGTACAGATGCTGTTTTCTTGATTTCACTCGCGTATATTTTAATTCCGATTTCACGGCGTGCGGTTTTCGTTCATTTCCTGTGAAATCGAGAATGTGATATGTTTCTGAGTATCGAGAGAAATACATTATCATTCGCGGGGAATGGATTAAAGCTTGATATTTATAACGGCTAAATAATCTCTAGTCTCGAGTTACCTATCTATTCTACAATTATTCGTATGACATTAATGCTTCGCTTCGTATTCACAATGATGTTCCGTGCTATCTGCAATAGCGATACATCTGGGATATACCGTGCAAATTGGACTGGAATTGCTCCAGCGTTAAACCGGCTAGTAAAATTCGTCAAATGATTTCCATTATATCTACATACCATATATATCAGCACAAAGCTGAAAATACCGCACCTGAAAAAATTACACTTTTCTCTTTTTGTCACGAACGGGGTATTGTGTCCGCGTCAAATTGAGAGGGAAAAATCGGTAAATTGGTTCACTGAAAAAAAATGGAAGGGAAAAAAAGAAGTAATATTCGACGTCGATTGCGTTATCAGAAAATCTTTATTTTATCGCAGAAATGTTACATCCATTTTACGATCGCGCAATATAAACTCAAATATTGCTCCGTTAAGGTTTGACGAAACCGTCTCTTCTGAGAGAAGTAAATTTATATATAAGTTGTTGTTTGCATTCCATTAAACGCTGAGTAAGATTGATAATGATCTCGCGCGCAGTTTGATGGCGAACGAACAATTCATGAACAATGTCACGCTGGTTCCGGTCGTGGCTGCTTTGTGCCGCGGTAAATACGTCTGATCAATTAACCGGGCCTGGTTAGTCATCGAGTCGAAAAGCATACGTCGCCCGCACAGTTCGTTCGGCCGCAGCTTCGTGCACGCGAGATCACCTGGGACACGGGAGTCTGCCATGCATTTCCTCCTCTTTCTCCTCCTCTTCCACACCACTACCATCACCAACTACCACGTCCTCTGCTTCCTTCCATAGTTTCATTCCGAACGGATGGCAGCGCAATCGTGTTGTTCGCCCCGATGCGACAACACGTATATTATATTGCGCGGAATTACGGAACGTTATGCTCGAGTCATGCACACACGGCCGATCTTGCGAACAATTTGCCGTACATAAATTTTTGCCTCGAATAAATCACGGCCGTGATTTATGCAGGAAATAGATGCGCAGGAAATAGATGTTCTGAAATTGCGATAACTTTGACGGAATAAATTACAGAATTTTTAAAAGTTTTTCGTCCGTTAATTAAGAATTATATTTAATATTTAATTTCACGTTCCGAGGATTTATATTTGATGAGATAATGTGGAATCAAGAATAAATTAAATTTTATGATAATATCCTATGTAACGTTGCAACAGTGGCAATTTTATTAATAATAATTTATGATTTATATTATATATGTATGTATGTAGATATATTTTTAGTATATTAGGCTGTTACAAAACGACATAAAAATGAATGATTTTTTAAAATGAATTTTCTACCTTATTACCTCAATTCTCTTTAATATTACATGACATAATCCGGAAGTCGCTTAACAATGGAACATTGTACGTAGTATAATGCACGTAGTATCCATACATTCCATGTACTGCGCACACGATGCGTGTGTATCCCTAGTTATCTAGCGGCAAACAGACGCGCAATGGTGTATATTCGAGTTTCCTAGCATTAGGCGAAATTCCGTAGTCCCCTTTCAAGTTAACTCGCTTGAGACGATACTCGTTTTAACAATCTGTCGTCTGAATAGTTCCGTGCGAAAACTGTCATATAGACATACTATATGAAATAATCTGGTTTATTTTGTGTCATTACCTATTTCGAGCCAGCGGAATTATTTAAGCATAAACAAAAAGGATTCCAGCTCCGACAAATATAGTTATTTAAAATTCATGGTATTTCGCAAAATAGACTGGGAAGATTCTATCTGTTGATTATTCCTGACTTTGCGTGAGAATATGTTGTACATTGAGAGAGAAAAATTGCAATTACAATAATTTAACTAGAATTTGTAATCATTTTTTAGGACAATAATATATTTTGCCTGATACAGTATCAGGCTGCTCCTCGCCCTGATGAAGTGAACTGCAAGGGTCACGAAACGTTGGCATTCCAAGAATGGATCTAAACACGGAGAAAACCCGCGAAACGCAAGATTGTCACATAGGTAACACCCGTGAAAGCCTCAAGAATAATATTTATAGTTGTTTTAATCACACAAATATAGTTAATATTTGAGAGAACTGTACATATAGATACGATTGTTATTACTAACATTGTTGCAGTGAGAACCATAAAAATGGATAACTAATTACATTACCATACAATTATAGTCACAAAAAATTTTTCTTTCAGTGTTTTAAGTATTTTAAGCTCTTATTCCTTTTTTCTTAAATAAATATAAATGTTATTATCGT